AGTGGCATTTTTGTAAATAGACACCCCTAAATAGCATTTTTGCAAATGTACACACAAAAAGTGATATTTTTGTAATTGCCCCAAAAAACAAATATATATATATATATTTGTTTTTTTTCCAACTTTTGTTTGTAGTTGTTATGTATGTGTTTTATGTAAAAATGCTTATCGTAGATATTGTGATGTGGTAGATATTGTAGAATCGTTTTGAAATTTTCCACCGTATTTTAGAGTGTTCACAAAATTAGATTAACTCGTTATGAATTACATATAATATAATATTAGTGACGTCGACGAAAACAAGTATATATACTTTCTATACAAAGAAAACTATATATAGTAAATAGGCCAAAATGAGTAGCTTGTTATTGTTTGCAGATTTTTTTGTTTGTTTTGTTTTAAGGATTGACAGAAAATTGAGAGAAGTATAGTCATGACTGATGATGGAAGAAGGAAACATTGAGAAATTGAGATTAAGGCAGTAACTGGTAACAACATACCAGCATAATTGGGAAGAATTCAGCAAAAAACAAAAAATGTATACACCATTTGACATAAAAGAAGGTGGAAGTAAAACTAGAAAAAGACAAAATCGAATTGCTAAATATATATTAACAATAGTATTTACTTTCTTGTTTACTATGACCCACCGATTTATTCTATCTTTTCTATAGATAGAATTATTATCTGGAATCCGAGATCTGATCCGTTATCCGTTCGGATCCGCTTCGAAAATTAGTTTATCCGGAAAGCTCAGATCCGGATAAGGATAATAAAATTTAGGATCCGTAAAAAGAGGATCCGGATCCGGATACCAAAATTTTAAGGCCTAGATATCCGGATCCGGATGCATTAAATATATTAAACATACATATTTTAGTTTTTTATAATATATTATATTTATGAAAATATTATTTAAAATATTAACTAATAATTTTAAAAACTTATTTTTATTTATTTATTTATTATTTTAATTATTTTTAATATTAATTTCATATCCGGATATCCGCGAATATCCTAATTTTTTGTCAGATATCTAAAGTCCGGATATATGGAGGCAGGGATCCGGATACTTTTACCACGGATACCATGGATCCAAATCCGGATCCAGATACATTAAAGTTCTAGGACATCCGGATCCGTCTTACCCCTTATCTTTCCTTCTTTTTGTTCTATTTTTACAATGTCATTTCTCGTTTTATAACATTTGAAATGCCTTTAAATGATATCAATATCAAATAACTTGTGTTAATTGGCTTTTTATTGATCTGTTTTGAATTACAAATATGTGTATATAATAAATTTTGACGGTAAATTAAAAATTCAACAAATCCGAATTGCCGATAGAT